TTCCGCCCATCTCTCCCCACCTCTACCATGTGGCCATTCTATACATCAATGACAATCCAGTATCAGCACACATCCCATCCCATGGAATTTGTCCATCATGCTGCCTTTCATGCCTCTCTTGCGTTCTCAGGCCTTTCTCGCCTTCCAACAGAGTTGCTTGGACGCTCTCATCTGTCCCTCGTTGGCATTCAAACTTGAGCTTCCTCTATCTACTGCATACCCCTTCATACTCATCGTTGCAGATCACTTTCTGTCAACCAGCTCAGTGGCACAATTCCTGCTGAAATCGGCAACCTTGCAAAACTAAACGCTCTGTAAGCCCCTGGCAGAACCTTTGTTTGGCTGTACTCCAGGTTCTTCTAGGCATGAGCAGGCGGCCCGACCGACCCGACCGACCCGACCCGACCTGACTTGGCCGGGCTACGCGGGTTTCCGTGTTGGGTCGGGTCAGGCCAGACCCGACCTTGGGTCGAGTCGACCCGAGGTCGGGTTGGGTCAGGAACCCGCTTCCGCCCGCCCCCTGCGCAGATCGGCGTTTTCGCTGGTCTACTTGAAAACGCTGTGAGGAAGCCGTCAAGTTTGTTGAAATGAAAAATCCCAACCAATTCGCACCCACTTACCACTCGTCACCGCACAGGATCTACACAACCCAACCCCCCAATGCAATTTCACAGCTCACGACATTGAGCTTAGACATGAGCAACGAGCGAACCGGACACGTTTGTCTCGAACAGTTTGCAAACACTTGGTCAATTCGAACCGAACCGAACACGTTTGACTCGAACAGTTTTCTTAAATGTTAGTGTTCCCCGTTCGAGTATAGGGTCGAACAGTTTTGAGGCAAGGCCGAACACTAAGGTGTTTGACCCGAACTCGAACAGTTTGCCTTGGGGGGTTCTTTCAGTGTAGTCACATTCAGGCAGGGCCAGTGTACTAGAAGCAATATCACGTTCCCTATAGCCCTACAAGAGATATAGTTAGGCTTGACGCAGATCTGGTGGAAATCCAATTTCGCCCTGCTAAACTCCAACCTAAACCGTAATGCCCTTAGTTCCTTTTTTTAACCGTCTCCTACCCTAATTTAACCTTATACCTAACGTAGCTGTTCGACCACCGCCAGCTTTTGCCCTCCACTACCCGGATGCGGTTCAGAAGTCGCTGCTTCTGATTTGTCATCACGTGCCATCTGGCTTGCTGCTTCATCCCCTTCTGTTGCAACTTTGAAGTGATTTGAGGGAGTGGAATGACCACACACAGCAGTGTGTGTCTGCTGACATGCGCAAACAGCGAACTGAGTCTGACACGACTCTGTCTAACACCTCTGTGCCAGCTGGCAAGGGAGAGTGAAGCCACACTGATGCTGTCTAGAGCGGAGGGTTCTTGTGCTTCTTGGGCTCAGATTCTGGATGAAGGCACTTTTACAAATCTCTTACAAGTGGATGGCCTCGCTGCTACATTTCCTCCTTGCTTCTCGCTCGTCCGTCTCGATTGCTATTGTCCATTTACCCACCTCCCTCTCCATGTTTTTTTATAAATCCCTTTGTGATACTCTCCCATTCCATCTCTAACCTTTGGATGTTTCCAGTCCAGTAACCTCAAAACCGCAGCATTCTTCTTGTAGCACTCCCTTCCTCTCTCAACACCTTTCTCCGCATCATCCCTACTTTCCTCCTGATTCCTTCCTCTTCCTTTTTATCCTATATTAGTTTCGCCTCTCTCCTCTCCTGTCCTATGCATGCCTGTTTATCACGTCGCCTGCTCCCATCTATCCCCTGCTACTGTTAGCACAGCACACATTCCAAAATGTCCATTGCATCGCACTGCCTTTCATGCTTCTGTTGCGTAATTTGGGATTTTTGCATCCCAATGGAGTTGCTTGCTCCTATCCGCTGCTCGTTTCCATGCAAAATTGAGCTTCAGTCTCTCCTTTGCGTGTCTGTTTTTCCTCATGGTGGCAGATATCTTTCTAGCAATCGGCTCAATGGCACAACTCCCAGTGCAATAGGCAACCTCACAAGCCTGCAAATCCTGTGAGGGATGCTGGTGTAGTCAAACCAAACTACCTTCCTTTCCAGTCCGTGGGCCATTCTATACGTTGATGACACCTCCTTGGGACACACATAGTGCGCGCGCGTCTCTCCTCACTTCTCCTGTCCCCATCTATCCCTCGCCAGTGTCAGCACACGTACCACAGACACTCTCCATTGTGCTGCTTTTGATGTCTCTGTTGCATCGTCAGGGGGATTTCGCCTCTCAACGGAGTTGCTTGCTCTTATTGGTCACTCCTTCCGTTGCAAACATGAGCATTCTTATTCACTGCAGATCACTTTCTGTCAATCAGCTCAGTGGCACAATTCCTGCTGAAATTGGCAACCTTGCAAGACTGAACTCTCTGTAAGCCCCCAACAAGTCCTTTGCTTGGCTGTACTCCAGGTTCTTCTCCTCTCTACTCCCCGCCATTCTCCTCCTTTTGATGCTAGTCCTGATCCACGCACTCCATTTTCCCCTCTTTTCTTTTTGACCACCACCCTCTCCTTCGGTGTATCCTGTAGGAGGTAGGAGGTCGAACCAAAAAAGTTGGGCTGAACCTTTTTCCTGAATTTTGAAGTTCGAGTTTGACCATGGTCGAACATGTTTGGCTGAACCGAGCCTAGGGTGTGGGATGAATACAGCAGAATACTGCCAAAAGGCGAACATGATCATGTTCACCCCGAACATGTTTGTCTTGCGGGCAAACACATAAGTGTTCGCATACAAAGGCGAACATTCGAACACCAGTTCATTCGGTTCGCCCACCAGAAGAGTTCAAGATGTGTTCGACACAAACACGTTCATGTTCGAGAACTATTTCTTACTTTAACCTTCTCTCCTTTCCAGTCTCAGGACCTCAGCAGTTTTGCATACTTCTTTCGTCCCTCTATTTCCCTCCCTCACAGCACTCTCCACGTCATCCTCCTCATTCCTTCCATTTCCTTTTTCCTGTCTACTTTCTGCCTGTCTCCTTATCTACGCTCCGCCTCTCCCCCCCTCACTTATGCGCTCTTGGCGCACACAGAATGCACGTCTATCCTCATTTCTCCTGTTTCAATCTTTCTTCCTCCAAAGCGTTAGCACACATTCCAATGTCCATCGTGCTGTGTTTCATGCCTCTGTTCTGTTGTATTCTCAGTGATTTTGCCTTCCAACGGAGTTTCTAGCTCCTATGCACTGCTTGTTGCCATGCAAATTGAGATTCCTGTGTCTACCGCATGTTCATTCATGTACATCATGGCAGAGATCTTGGTCGCAATCAACTCACTGGCACAATTCCTGCTTCAATGGGGACCTTTGCAGACCTGACTTATCTGTAAGACACCAGCAAGGCGTTTGTTTGGCTGTGCTCCAGATTAATTCTTTCTACTCTCCAGCACTTCTCCGTTTGATGCTAGTCCTGACCCATGCTCTCCATTCCTAATAACCACACGCATCCGCTCCACTGACCATCAACGTCTCCTTTGCTGTCGCATGCGACTGGAGCCATGCGATTGTGGATCGCAAGGTAGAAGTGATTTGGGGGTGTGGAATGACCACACACTACAGTTAGGCATGAGCAACCGCCCCGGCCCGACCCGACCCGACCCGACCTGAATTGGTCGGGCCACCCGCGCTCCTGGGTCGGGTCGGGTTGGGCCAGGGTGACCCGCCCCCCTACTGAAAATGCCCCCCCCCACTGAACGCGCCCGCACCTGTGCTCGTTTCCGCCCCTACACCCTGCACGCGGCCCCTAAGAACCTCTACGAAATGGTGCAATGCTAGTTGCTGGCGCGCCTATGAGCAACTGCTGGCCTAAAACGAGGCGTGCAGCCTGTGAATTGAAGAATCGCTAGTAAAACGCGAAGCTGTAAAAAAACGCCATTTCTGCATCGCGATTTTCCGTGAACAGCAGGATGCGATAGTAAACTAGCTATAAATGTCTGTCAATGAGGTTTGAACGGGTGGTAACTACGTAGTTTCTAAGCTTAGGTGACTTGCTTGCTGCCGTTAGGCAAGATCGAGAGCGTGGGTGGGTTCTGATGTCGAGGGGTTAAAAATCTCCTCGACAACAATTTGACCTAGGGTTTCGTCCCCAGTGCGTCGAAATCAGGTCGGGCCAAAAGCCCGACCCGACTTCCCTGGTCCTGACCCGAATTCGGGTCGGGTCAAGCCTGACCCGAAACCCGACCCGACTCGGCCCGAGTTCGATGCTCGGGTCAAGTTTTAGCCCGGGTCGGGTCGGGTCGGCCCGCACGGGGCAGGCAAATGAAACCACTGACCCGACCCGAACTAAACCACCCGACTCGAGCGGGGCAAATGCTCATGCCTAACTACAGTGTCTGCAGACATGCACAAACAGCGAACTTATTCTGACATGAGTCTGGCTAACGCCTCTGTTGGTAAAGGATCGAGTGCTGTTGGTCTCAGACAATCGGCAAGGCACTCTTTCAAACCTTTCAATCGTAAGGCCTTTCTTGTCCTTTTCCGCCATGCTTTGAGCGCGTCCCTCTTCATTGCTCTTGTCCATTCACCCTCTTCCCTAATTTTTTTTTTCACACATCCCATTGTATTAATCACCCATTCCTACTGCATCGTTTCGTCTATTCCAGTCATAGAAAATCTTAGCATACTTCTTTGGTCCCTCTCTTCATCCCTTCACAGCAATGTCCACATCATCCCTCCTGTGCTCCTCATTTCCTCCTTCCATTTTTCCTATCTACTTTGCGCCTCTTCTGCCTCCTCTCTCATGCGCTCTTCCCCATGGCCTATCCATACGTTGATGACAGTCCTTGGGCCACACAAAGTGCACGTCTGTCCTCCCTTCTCCTGGCCCCATCCATCCCCTGCCAGTGTCAGCACTCGATGTCCCCCGTACCACAGACACTCTCCATTGTGCTGCTCTTGATGTCTCTGCTGCATCCTCAGGGGGATTTTGCCTCCCAACTGAGTTGCTTGCTCACAAACATGAGCATTCCCTTTTACTGCAGATCACTTTTTTTCAACAAGCTCAGTGGCACAATTCCTGCTGAAATTGGCAACCTTGCAAAACTGAACATTCTGTAAGCCCCCAACAAGTCATTTGCTTGGCTGTACTCCAGGTTCATCTCCTCTCTACTCCCCACGATTTTCCTCCTTTTGATGCTACTCCTTGAGTTGCTTGGTTGCTCCTATCCGTCCCTCTTTGCCATGCAGATTGAGCTTCCTATATCTACTCTATGCCAATACATACTCGTCGTTGCAGATCACTTTCGGTCAATCAGCTCAGCGGCACAATTCCTGCTGCTGTCGGCAAGCTTGCAAAACTGATCTCTTTGTAAGCTCCCAACAAAGCACTTCTCCTAACTATACTCCTCTCTACTCTCCGCCGTTTCTCCTCCTTCGTTGCTATTCCTGACCCATGCACTAAAGTTCACTCGCATCAGCTCAGCTGACCATCACCCTCTCCTTCGATGTATCCTGTGGTCTTGGTACTAGTAGTGTGCATGGGACTGGATTCATGATTGTGCATTGTAAGGTAGAAGTGATTTGGGGGTGTGGAATGACCACACACTGCAGTGTCTGTCTGCAGACATGCAGAAGCAGCCAACTGAGACTCTTGCCAACACCTCTGTGCTGGTTGGTAACGGAGAGTGCAGCCATGGTGCTCTATAGAGCCAAGGTTTCGAGTGCCTGCTAGGCTTAGATCCCGGGCAGTTGCCAAGGCACTCGTACAATTTTCTTACGAGTGTATGGCCTCTCTGCTACATTTCCGCCGTGCTTCTTTCTTGCCACTCTTGATTGATTTTGTTCATTTACCCTCTTCCCTCTATGTTTTTTTCACACATTCTGTCCTTTCCAGTTCTGTAGCCTCAAAACCATTGCTTTTAATTTGCATCCCTCCATTCCTCTCTTCACATCTCTTTCCACATGATTTTTCCTTTTCTCCTTATTCATTTCATTCCTTTTTATCCTATCTTGGTTTCGCCTCTCTCCTCCCTTCTCCCGCCACTCTCTTTCCCGTTATCATTCTATACATGTTTGACATGCCTTGGGGCAGGCAGACAACTCGTCTTTCTCACGTCTCTTGCCAATCCATTTCCTGCTCTGCTACTGTTAGCGCAGCACACATTCCAACCCACCACGGACGATCTGCCTTTTGGGATTTTGCATCCCAATGGAGTTGCTTGCTCCTATCGGCTGCTCGTTTCCATGCAAAATTGAGCTTCAGTATCTTCTTTGCGTGTCCATTTTTGCTCATTGTGGCAGGTATCTTCCTAGCAATCAACTCAATGGCACAATTCCCATTGCAATATGCCTCCTTACAAACCTGCAAACCCTGTAAGGCATGAGCAAGTACTGGACCCAAACCGGTTCGTGCGAACGTGGTCAAATCGGCCGGCGTTATCGAACCGAACCACTTTCCTTTCGGTCGAACCAGCCAAAAATTGAAGGGGTCGGAGTCAAATGGGTTAGAGGTCTTGCTTGGTTCGGGGCAAAGTTGTTCGCTTGAACTGATCCAATTTTTATTCTATTCTCGTGTCTACCTGTGTGAGCCCATGTGCAACGCCTTGTCATCCTCGCCACCTCACTTCCCCCCCCCTCTCCCCTGTTTAGAGATCTTTAGAACTTAAGCTTGTCAGTTGATGAAGACATAGTTCGGGTTTCGCCTAGCTGCTGGCATCTGCTTTCCTTGTGAATCCCCTGCTCTGCTGCGCCGCTACCTCCCAAACCAGACAGTCGGCTGCCCGATCAAATACAGTTTGCAGATGCTTGACGGGCTGCAGCCCGGCGCTGCACACCCTTTGTAGTTACTATCCATTGGGCCACCTGAGTTTGGGTGTGATGTTTGAATATGAGCTGCATGACGGAAGGCAACCTTGTGAGTGTCAAATGCAGGAGTCACGACGTCGAGTGTCACAAGTCGTGTCGACCTGACCCGACCTGAACCATTGCTAAGGCCTACCCTTTCTGCACAACGTTTTAAGCCGTTAAATATAATTTTCTCTCCACTCCTTTTTCTTCTGTTTTGCAGCTATCTTGCCTTCACCTCTGTTCACCCCTCTCCTATGTTAAGTTCCCTGCGCAAATTATGACGTTCCTTGGGGCATGCAAAGAACGCATCTCTCCCCACTTCTCCTTACCCTTTCTATCCTATGCCATTGTCGGACTTTCATGCATCTGCTACATTTTCAGGAAATTCGCCTCCTCTGGAGTTGCTTTCTCCTATCCCAGCTCGTTATTATGTAATATTTCTCCATGAACCTTACATGCGAGCCCATTCGTGTTCATTGTTGCAGAAATCTTCATTACAATCAGCTCACTGGTGCAATCCCTGCTGCAATTGGCATGCTTACAAACCTCAAAGGCCTGTAAGTAGGCATGAGAAACTACCGAACCCGAACCGGTTCAAGTGGAATATGGCGGCATGAAAAAGAAAAATAAAGATGTATAGAGAAGGAGTGGGGGCATGAGAGAGGAGGTGACAATGAGCAGTCTTGGTGATCTTGCCAATGCGGGTGCCAATGATGCCACAACCCTTGGGGAGGGTGTGAGTCTGGTGGATGTCATGCACGGCGCCGTAGGAGGCAGGGGTGTTGTTGAGAAACTCTTCTTGAAGTGAGTGCAGGACTGCTCTGTCCTATTGACGATAACAGAAGATTCATCGTCCTTCGTTTGAAGGAAATAGGCCGAGGAGTACCTAGACATGAGCAAAAATTCGAACCCCTGTTCGGTTCGACTCAAAAGTGTTCGACTCTAACGTGTTCGAGTCGTTTTTTTTTACCCAAAATTGTTCGTGACGAACACCTTGGTGTTAGTCACAAACACGTTCGACTGTTCGAGTGTTCGTGTGCAGAAAAATGCACGAACACCTAGGTGTTCGCGAACACAATGTGTTCGTCGCAAACACCTAGGTGTTCGTGCATTTTTCTGCGCGTCAAAGTTTGACGGGCTGGTTGGATCTAAAAGGGGAGGGCAATAATTGAGCTCAAGAATTAGCTCTATCGTCGATGTAGCCTAATGATGACATTCCGCCCCCTACCCACTTAAACTAACACATTCCCACAGTTAAAATTCCACATTGTGGCTGGAAACTTTAGGTATAAAGTTGGATTAGAGTAAGAGACGGTTAAAAAAAGGAGCTAAGGGCATTACGGTTTAGGTTGGAGTTTAGCAGGGCGAAATTGGATATCCACCAGATCTGCGTCAAGCCTAACTATATCTCTTGTAGGGCTATAGGAAACGTGATATTGCTTCTAGTACACTCGCCCTGCCTGAATGTGGCTATAGAGAAAGGACCCTCCAAGGCAAACTGTTCGAGTTCGGGTCAAACACCTTAGTGTTCGGCCTTGCCTCAAAACTGTTCGACCCTATACTCGAACAGTGAACACTAACATTTAAGAAAACTGTTCAAGTCAAACGTGGTCGGTTCGGTTCGAATTGACCAAGTGTTCGTGTTGTGCAGCAAATATGTCCCGGATGGTAGATTCTCACCTGTGGTCTTAGAGGTTGTGGGTTCAATTCTCAGTAGCTGCAGGTTCCCTTCTCATTATGCTCCACATTACATGTCCACACTCTACCACACTCCACCACAGTGAAGTGTGGTCACAGCTGGCATTGCCACCTGTCCACTCATCCCACACTCACCTTGCTGGCCTCTATGGTGTGCCATATGCTGTCATGTGGGCTGTTGTTCCAGCCTGGCCCACATGTGCAACATGTGGCCTCACTTGCTAGCTTGGCAAGGTTGGCTAGCCTAGCCCTCAGCATTGAGGTGCTGCAGCTAGCCTCAAGAGTTCAGCCACATATATGTGGCTTCCCACTTCACTAGGGATTATCCTTGACAAGGACCTTGCTCTAGTCTTTAAGACTTGTACCATTTTCTTGCTAAGGAGATTTCTTCTTCCTATCGTGCCCTAAGTTCACCGATCCACTTTCTTCATGGTATCAGAGCTAGGCTTCTAGCTTTGTGAACGTCGCACACTTGATGGCTCAAGTTGAGACGCCTCTCGGTCGGCACACCCTTCCTATCTTGGAACCGGATGGTTCCAACTTCATTCCATGGAAGAAAAAGATATGCTACATCTTTAATGTCCTTGGGCTGATCTCCTTTCTTGGAGATCCCAAGGTTGCTTCCCGCCCTTCCATTTCCTCCTCCACAACCAGCAGTGGAGATGCTACTGAAGGCAACAATGGTGCAGCCCCTAAAACAGCCCACTCGATTGCGTCGCTGCCGGATGAAGAAAAAGAGGAGCATGCGTACTATCTTCTCATGTCAGCCGTCCATCCGCAGCTCTCGCTCACACTTGCTCAAGCCAACACGACGAAGGACATGTGGGGATGCATCATGGCGCGGTTTGACTGCATGGGTAACCATGCACAAGTGGCTCTCCTCCGAGATCTCATCACTACACGGATGGACCCAACAATGAGTCTTCGCTCCTACTTCGATCGAGTTGGAAATCTTACGCACCAACTCAAATCTGCCGGCTTCGAGTTACCATCTTGGGTGGTGGTAATCTCCATCATTCTCAATCTGCCGGACTCCTTCAAGACTCTCACAGAAACTATTTGCACCGTGAAAGACATCAAGTCTATGACAGTTGAATACCTGCAGTCACGTCTACTCGATGCCGATTGGGAGCGGTCACAATCTGGTACAAGCCGCAACATGGAAGGTGCATACAACCTCCATTCCCAGCCCTCCCACCCTATTCGCTCCGGTTCCCGCCAGTCCCCTACTTGCCGCTACTGCAAGAAAACCGGACACACTATTGACGAATGCTTCAAGTTGAAGAAGAAGAAAGAGATCGAAGAAAGCTCTCGACGGGAGAAATCTGTCATCCAGCCTTCGGTGCATGTGTCAACAAGCTCCTCCGCCGACATCCCTTCGACCTCCACAACACCTACTGCCCCATCAGCCTCTCAGTCCGTACCAGATTCCCGGTACGTTGACATTGCTTTCAGCACCAGCCACGGCTCCATCCTCCCCACCTGGACTCCTCTCGTCGCTACTCTCTTCATCTTCACCATCCTCCTCCTCCTCCTCCTCCTCCTCTTCCCTTATGGTGCTCCCTATGCATCGGCATTCACGGCCTCTTCATCAAACCTGGTCCGGACGTCTTCCTGGCTGGTGGACAGCGGCGCATCTTCCCATATCTGCTCCGATCGCTCGCTGTTTTCATCTCTCCAGCAGCCAACTCATGATATTATCGTTCGCTTTGGTGGCGGAGAGACTTACAAGGTCTTGGGAGTCGGCACGGTGGTGGCTACTCTTCGTTCCCAAACCTCGGAAACCACCATCCAGCTAGACAACGTTCTGTTTCTCCCTTCATCGGTTCACAATCTGCTCTCAGTTCGTGCACTTGGAGCTGCCGGCATTACCGTTTCCTTCCCCATTGCTGGGCGGGTTGAGCTCAAGACTGATGAGGCTCTTATTGGCGAGGGCTTTACCCGCAACAATCTGTTCTATCTTCAGCTGCATCATGGAAAGAGTGCCGCCCCCCCCATCAACCCATCGGCATGTCCAGTCTCCACCACCTCCTCCTCATACCTTTGGCATCGCCGTTTCGGGCATCTTAACATGCGGGACTTGTCAACACTTCATCGGCAGCAGCTGGTCTCCGGTCTTAACCTCTCCTCCTCAATGCAACTCGTGCTATCGTGGGAAACAAACGCGTCACCCATTTGGTGTGTCCCATTCTCGCACCACCGCACCGCTCCAACTCATTCATTCGGATATTGCTGGACCCTTTTCATATGGAACTACCATTGGAGGCGCTCGCTACCTTCTCACCTTCATCGAGGACTATTCCCGCCACATTACCGTGTATCTACTAGGCCATCGTTCAGAGGCATTGTCGTGCTTCAAAGCGTACGTCACTCGGGTGCACAATATGCATTCCCCAAGGACCATCAAAGCGTTTCGCTCCGATGGTGCCTTGGAGTTCAATTCCGAGGCCTTCACTTCATTCCTTAATGCTCATGGCATCGCTCGACACCGCTCTACGCCATACACACCCGAACAAAATGGAGTTGCTGAACGCGCCAATCGGACTATACTTGAGATGGTCCGTTCCATGCTTCATGACGCACACATGGACAGAGGATGGTGGGGTGAAGCCGCTCTCACTGCTGCCTATCTCCGAAATCATGCTATTAGTCGGGGTGGTTCAGCTTCCAAGACTCCCATAGAACTATGGACCGGTGCACGTCCGGACGTATCCCACCTCCGCATCTTCGGTTCACCCGTTTCAGTCCTCGTTCCTCCGCAACGCCGCTCCAAACTCGACGACCGAAGCACGGCCGGCGTCATGGTTGGGTATGGTCATCTTGACGGCACCAAAGCTTATCGCATCTATATCCCAACTCAGCACCGTGTCACACTTTCTCGTGATGTCATCTTCATGGAGCCCTCTTCGCCACCTTCGGATGACCCTCGGGAACCTCCATCGTCATCTCCACCACCCATGTCATCCTCTCCGCCTCCTCCTCCACCCCCTTCCCTCTCAGACCCAACCTCCCCTCCCTCTCGTTCACCTCCCATGACCTCTTCCACCACCCTCCTCCCCCCATCTCCAAATCTGCCAGCACCAGCAACCTCTTCTCCTCCTCCTTTGTTTTCCAATCTTCCTCTGCCCTCGACGCCGCAAGACTTCCGCCTTCCATCCCTCTCCTCTCCTTCTTCAGCTCGTCCTCCCCCTTGCACCTCTAGTTCCTCACCACCATCCCCTTCAGCTCCTTCCAATCCTTCACTTTTCTCACTGCTCAAGGTCCTACCCTCTCTTCTGAACCCATTGACTTCACCCTTCCTCCTCTTTCCAAGCCCTCTGCTAATGCCGCCCTTCATCATCATTACGAACCTCAAAACATTCATGAGGCCCGCACCGGCCCTGATGCTGCTGAATGGATCAAGGCTGCTGATGCGGAACTCGCTGCCCTGCACGCTAATGACACTTACAGCGTTGTTCCTCGACCACCCAAGTGCAAACCGATTCCATGCAAATGGATTTTTAAGGTCAAGGAGCATGCTGATGGTTCTATTGAACGCCGCAAGGCCCGCCTTGTTGTCAAAGGTTTCAAACAACGCGACGGTGTTGATTTCCATGACACCTTTGCTCCTACCGTTCGCTTCGCCACCCTCCGCCTCTTCCTCACCATTGCTGCCGCTTTCGACTTGGAAGTCCATCAGCTGGATATTTCCAACGCCTTCCTCAACGGCACTCTTGATGAAATTCTCTACATGATGCAGCCTCCCGGTTATGAGCTTCCGGCGGTCCATGGTGTTGAGCAAGTTTGTCTCTTGCACAAACCGTTGTACGGGTTGAAGCAAGCGCCGCGGTGCTGGTACCGCAAACTTCGTGAAGAGCTTGCTGCATTTCACCTTTTTGCTGCCCGTGCGGACCCCGGCCTCTTCATTGCTACTCCACAATCTCCTTATCGGCCTACAGCTGCATCTTTCTTCATGCTTCTCGTCTATGTTGACGACCTCATCATTCTTTCCTCCTCCTCTTCTCTTCTCTCCTCATTCAAGCGTGCCCTTTCATCTCGCTTCAAGCTTCGTGACCTCGGTCCTCTTTCCTACTACCTTGGCTTTCACATCACTCGTGATCGGACCTCACGCACTCTCCACCTTCATCAATCCAAATTCATCACCTCCATCTTAGACACCTACTCATTCACACCACTTAACCCTGCTGCCACCCCCATGGACACCAAGTTTCAGCCGCCCGTGACTTCCTCACCACACTCCTCCTTTCCTTACACCTCGTTTGTCGGATCCATCATGTATGCCATGGTGGGTTCCCGTCCCGACCTCGCATATAGCGCTGGAGTTCTTGCTCGTCACCTTCATGATTGGTCTTCTCCTCACGTCTCGGCTGCCAAACGCGTTGCTCGCTACTTGAAAGGGACTACCTCACTCGGGCTTCTCCTTGGCGGCATTCCCAACACCCTTGAACTCCATGGGTGGTGTGACGCCTCTTGGGGACCGGAGGGCGAGCTCCGACGCTCCGTTACGTGCTACTTGTTCTTCCTCGGTCCGTCACTCATCTCTTGGCAGTCCAAACGTCAAGCTGTCGTCGCTACCTCCTCATGTGAAGCTGAATACTATTCTCTGGGCGCCGCGGTGCATGAGGCCTTATGGCTTCGATCCCTCCTTACTGCACTTGGACTTCCCCCACCCGGCCCCACCCGCATCTCGTGTGACAACAGCGCCGCCATCATTCTGGCCAAGGACGACGGCGTCTTTCATCCCAAGGCCAAACACATCGACATCAAGCACCATTTCATTCGTGATCATGTCGCCGACCACTCCGTCACCCTTCACTATGTTCCTACTCAAGACAACCTCGCTGACATTGGCACCAAACCTTTGCCCCGTGACCCTTTTCTACGCATCCGTGGTCTTCTCGGTCTCACCCATGTCTCCGCTTGAAGAACCCTACCCCGGGGACATCCTTGAGGGGGGGTGTTGTGCAGCAAATATGTCCCGGATGGTAGATTCTCACCTGTGGTCTTAGAGGTTGTGGGTTCAATTCTCAGTAGCTGCAGGTTCCCTTCTCATTATGCTCCACATTACATGTCCACACTCTACCACACTCCACCACAGTGAAGTGTGGTCACAGCTGGCATTGCCACCTGTCCACTCATCCCACACTCACCTTGCTGGCCTCTATGGTGTGCCATATGCTGTCATGTGGGCTGTTGTTCCAGCCTGGCCCACATGTGCAACATGTGGCCTCACTTGCTAGCTTGGCAAGGTTGGCTAGCCTAGCCCTCAGCATTGAGGTGCTGCAGCTAGCCTCAAGAGTTCAGCCACATATATGTGGCTTCCCACTTCACTAGGGATTATCCTTGACAAGGACCTTGCTCTAGTCTTTAAGACTTGTACCATTTTCTTGCTAAGGAGATTTCTTCTTCCTATCGTGCCCTAAGTTCACCGATCCACTTTCTTCAGTTCGCAAACTGTTCGAGACAAACGTGTTCGGTTCGCTCGTTGCTCATGTCTAGGAGTACCTGGCAGACATGAGCAACAGGCGGACTTTAACATCTGAGATACCCAAACTCAACTCAAACAGTTCGAGTCAATTGTGGTGATCAGCCGTTCGCCCTAAGACGCAAACAATTATGTTTTTGGGTTGAACAGGCGGCTGTTTGACGGTAGGGGTGAGCAAAAAAACGAACACCTGTTCGGTTCGCCTCGAACACGTTCGAGGCGAACCGAACATGTTTGTTTTTTTGGCTTAAAGTGTTCGCCGAACAGTGTTCAAGGTTCGCCCGAACACGTTCGTGTTCGGGCCTCTGCTGCAATTTGCCCTGCGACGAACACGAACGTGTTCGAGGTTCGCCCGAACACGACTTCACAGGCGAACGGCGAACACCTGTTTTTGCTAAAGGTGTTCGCCGAACCAAACAGTGTTCGGTTCGGCAAGCGGCTATGTTCGTGCAGGGGCGAACACGAACACGTTCGTGTTCGCCCCTAGCTCACCCCTATTTGACGGTAACCTGTGTTAGAACTCAAGATTGTGGTTGACTAATGAGCCAAGAGACTCTATAATACAAGCATGCAAGAAAGGAAGAGTGGAAGAGATCTAAAACTATTGGCCACTAAGTTGGCCAATAGGTGAGGTGCCTTGTAGAGCAAGCAACCTCACCATGTAGCTAGGCTGGGATTGGTTGGTCTAAGGACCAAAGGTTGGCAAGTGCCAACCAAGGACCATGACCAAACCCAATCTTGACCAACCACAAAGTGTGGTTGGAGTGTACACCCAACCCCCCAATAACATTAATGACTACACCTATTCTAGCCTATGAATGCTGTATAAGTTATACATTTACAACAATAGGAACATGTTTGGTTGGGGTAGGGATGAGCAAGTGGCGAACACGAACGTGTTCGTGTTCGCCCCTACACGAACACCTTCGTTTGCCGAACCGAACACTGTTCGGTTCGGCGAACACTTTGAGCAAAAAATGGTGTTCGCCGTTCGCCTGTGAAGGCGTGTTCGGGCGAACCTCGAACACTGTTCGTGTTCGTCGCGGGCAAATTGCAGCAGCGGCCCGAACACGAACGTGTTCGGGCGAACATCGAACACTGTTCGGCGAACATTTTAAGCCAAAAAAAAATACCTGTTCGGTTCGCCTCGAACACGTTCGAGGCGAACGGAACAGGTGTTCGTTTTTTTGCTCAACCCTAGGTTGGGGTATACCATTAACTTAATCACATTCAAAGCAGGGCAATAATAGGCCCTCCCTTTTGTGGGGGAAACCTGGGGGAGACTGGTCATCTTAAGAGGGGGATTTGGGGATGTAAAAAAAAGAGCACCAATCTTGTATGCAAGATATAGTCGAGCTGAACACTACAAAGAAAACGCCCAACTAAGGATGTTTTTTAGGGTTGTACCAGCAGGTTTCGGTTTAAGTTAAATTAACTCCACGGTTTAGTTGGTGCAAACCTGTACTTTCAGCACTAGGTTAGTTAAGTAGACGCTTGGGAGCTCATATCCACTTAAAAAATAAGCAGGTTCCCCCCCCCTGCAGTGGGCGAACCCGAACATGTTCGGGTTCGCCCGAACATGTCAACTGTTCGGCCTCCTTTAAGAGGTTCGCCCTCAGTGGGCGAACCTCGAACATACGATTTCAGTAAAAAGTGTTCGGGCGAACCGAACATGTTCGGTTCGCCCACTGAGTATGTTCGTGGCTGTTCGGGTGAACATGTTCGATGTTCGTCCGGTGCTCATCCCTAGAGGTCACAGTTTTACTTGAGGAAAGTAACAAAGCAAACTGAGCGAAACTGAACCAGTACCTTGTCATAGTATAACTTAACAGTTCTGTTAACGAATGGCTCTGTAGGGGGCTGATTTGTGGGTCATTTAAATCGACCAAAGAGGAACACTCTGAACTGACGTAATTCGACACCTAACCGGACCATTTCAGTTATAATCCTTCACTACAGCTGGTGCTTATCCCTTCACACTACCTTTTAACGCCTACGAACCGAATCGACCAACATAATGGCCATGCTTGAGAGCAAACAGTTATGATGGTCAGTGATTCACAGCAAACACAATAGGCCCAGTGTAGAAAAACAGTCCCACTTGCACCATGTGGACAGGGAGAAACTGGTTTGGAAGTGCTCTAGAGAGGACCCATAGACAGTTTGGAAACGAAATAGAGTATGCTATGAAACATGAGCAAAAAACAGAAACGCTGGGAATTGGTCTGAAGGCGACTTGCGCTGGTCAAGGTGAAGAAATTTGGATCGCCCAAAGAATGCTCAATTCGCCCACAAAGCGGGCTTGGAAGCGCTCCCTATAGTGGAACCACGAAACCACGAATTGAGAACATAAATCCCAAGTTGGAGCCGCGACCCCAAAGTTGAGACATGCTGAGTGACCCCAATGCCGAGCTTGGGGTGCCCTGCTTCTGATACAACCACTCAATGAGCACCCTGTTATTATTATAGCCCAACCCCCAATGTGTACATTAGGTATAAATAAATACAGTTGAGTGATGGAAAATGAAGTCCATGTATGGTCCTAGTATAGTACAAACAACCTTCCATCCTTTCCAGTCCTACAATATCAAAATCTTTGCATACTTAGTGCGTCCCTCCCTTCCTACCTTCACAGCACTCTCCGCATCATCCCTCCGTTCCTCATCAATTCTTCGATTTCCCTTTTCCAGTCTACTTTCTGCCTCTCTCCCTTCCCT